GTTAGTAACCTGTAAAAGTGAACCTTAATGTAAAGTGAAGACCTGTGAACCATTTATTAATGAGCTATAAACGTTAGTAATCTGTAAAAGTGAACCTTAATGTAAAGTGACAACTGTGAACCATTTATTAATGATCTATAAACGTTAGTAACCTGTAAAAGTGAACCTTAATGTAAAGTGAACACCTGTGAACCATTTATTAATGAGTTTTGTACATAATTAACCGGTGAAAGTGAACTTTAAAGTAAAGTGGACACACTAATCATTTATTAATTATTAATGCACACACAAAAGTTTTTTTTTTCTCGGTTAAATGTATTTTATTATTGATGCACTATATCAGTAAACAAAACTACTTAAAGAACATTACTGAGCATAACTGCACATGGAAAGTGGCTTATACAAGTAAACTCACATTAAACAATTCAGAAACACAATAAAGTATTCCAGCAAATTATAACTAAGCACCAAAAATATACATATTTTATCTAATTTAACAGTTTTGAGTAAATAATTAAATCAATGATTGAAAGCACAGTTACAGAACATTATCATATTAATAAGCAAACAGTAATTATTTTTTGATATCATGATAAAGCCCACTGTAACTTCACTATTTGTTCATCCACACTCAGTAACGTTACCTGCGCGCGAGCGAACCGACCGCGGAAGCGCCGGAGCGGTTATTTATTTGTATGGTAACGAATTAATTAAACTAGCAAAGCGATTACACATATAAACACTTGAACAATATACTCTGCAGTGTCACCTCACAGTTAGCTGACCCGTAAAATGAATAAGAAGAGTTGTCCAAGAGCCATCCTTGGCTCTTGGACAACTTGAATCTTTCTTCTTTTCAGAAATCTAGTGAGGAGCACCTGGTTGTGGCCGGTTTATGGTGAAATTATGTTCTTTCCACTTCTGGATTATGGCCCCAACTGTGCTCACTGGAACATACAGAAGTATAGAAATCCTTCTGTAACCAATGCCATCAGTTTGTTTTGCAACAATAAGGTTGCGAAGGTCTTGGGAAAGCTCTTTGCTTTTACCCATCATGAAATGTTTCTTGTGTGACATGTTGGTCAAGAGACACCTTTTTATAAGCCATCAATTGGGACTGAACCAACAAATATTAATTTCCACTGAAAAGGGGCCAGATTGCTTTCTAATTAGAAAAGGGGCAAGATTGCTTTCTAATTACTGATAGATTTCAGCTGGTGTCTTGGCTTTCCATGACTTTTTGCACCTCCCTTTCTTCATGTGTTCAATACTTTTTCCCTGTGTCATTCTACTTTATTACACAGAACTTAATTTCTGAACTTATTTGTTTTGATTTCTTTGTATGTATGGATTACTTGACTTGTTACCGACATCTGGTGAATATTTCATGTCAACAGCACCTTTAGAAATATATTTACTGAGAAAAATGGTGATGTGTTCAATACTTATTTTACCCGCTGTATTAGAATGATTTCTCCAGGAGCACGTGATGCTGAACACTAGAGGAGTGGCTAAATTCACACTTTTTAAACATGAATACCTACGTTGACTTAATGGTGATACACCTCTCCTGTTCGTCTTTTCTGGTGTCAGTAAATCTGGTCTCTCCTGCACGTGCAGAAGCAATAATACCGGCTTTGCACACCAAGGAATCAGTGAGAGTAGATTTGCCATGGTCCACATGGGCGATCACAGACATGTTCCTGATGTTGGACTTTTTGTCCATGATCTCCCGAATCTGGTCTACCGTGAAGTTCACCTGAGGGACAAAGACAAGTTTATCAAGTGTTGATTGTGGAGTAAATATGATTGAGTGTTTGTGTGTGGGGGACAATATGTGATGTCAAAACAAATGAATGCCTCGGGCTCGTGGTTTAAGCGATGGGAACCTACAAAAGGTAAATGTGACAGTCTAAGCTTATGCCTTTGATCCCTCAATAGAAGCTAAATATTGTTTTGTGTGTGTGTGTGTTTTATTAAATCCACAGTAAAAAAATAAAAAATACAACTGTCAGCTTAACTTTAATGTACAAAAAAAAGATATCACAAGAATTGCCATTTTGGTAACTGTATGTGGAACTGTATATGTCATTAAATTATATAATGTTAATATACCAATCTATTTGAGGTATTTAAATCATTTTTACTGTAAAATATGCTAATAAAACCACATGTTTTTCAATGTAAGCCCACATGATAACCTAACCATGGCCAATAATAACAAAGAGCATAGAAACACAGGCCCTATTTACACATGAAACTATAACATATTGCAACATAAAACAATAAATAAAATAATTCAAAATATTAAAATTATAACTAAAATATTAAAATAATAATATTACCAGTACAAATGAGCCTAAATAAAATCCAAACAAACGTGATAGTTCAATATGGAATTCAGGGAACTTTACCCATAAATTAAAAGGCAGTTCATTCTTTTTACATTTTTACATGCAATTTCTTTTCAAATACAGGCTAATATATTTTAAAATTCCTGTTTTTAACTGCATATGGTCAAGCAACTTCACCTTCTTACGCGTTAAAACATTTTACTAGCATTTTACTGTGCATTACGCTTACAAACGGTAAATATTGGTTTCATTAACGCTTTCTAAAGCTATGGTAGTGCGCTGAAGTGCAGCCTGTACCATGAGTGCGCAGTTTCTGGGAGCCGCTGTGTGCTGCAGTCTCCTCAGCCAGGCGCTGCAGCGATACACGCAGCCAATGACAAGCTTGTGTAGCCTGATAACAGAGTTGGGTTGTTTGTTTCACCCCTCAAAAACAATAACACAGCGGCCCCGTCATTATAATAACACTATTTGCATCCAGCACCCCTCCATAATCATGGTTTGCTCGCTCTCCGCACATGAAACTTTAATACGCGCATAGAGAAGAACAGTGGGCGTAAACGCGCTATTTATAACGGGGTAACGTTATTCCAGCGTGCGCGTGTGCACTTTGCTGGGCCATATCCCTAAAATAACGCTGCTTACTTTCACTTAAAAACAAAAGATCGAACCGCATGCGGTTGAGCTTTACATTTTTGCGTAGTATAACTGTTACAAGACGAACTTGCTGAAATTGTGACTTATCCATTTCCATCTCGCGTCGAATAAAAATACGTAAGTTATATTTGAATGCGTCATTCTCTTTCCTGAACATTTTATAATAAAGACAAACATCAATTCGCTAAATGTGCCGCGTATAATTCAAGTTCAAGGTTGACACAAATGCGAGAATCTTCTTAGTAGGTTGTCATTACGTCATTGACATCAGAATAAAATAAGATTATATAAATGACTGAAGAAATGCGTACTAAATGTACCAATATGTTTTAATATAGCACTTTAGTCTTTTTCAATGCAGCCTGGTGAACTGAAATATCGTACCATTTTGGCGACTGGCTCCCAAGTCTAGGCCGGCCTCGCGCTGCGGTCGCTGCTCCTCTCCGCTGGAGGACTTGGGGGAAAGAGAGAGACTGTGGCGTGGAATCTAGTTTATGCTGCGACAGAAAGCGCTGCGGAGTCATGTGGAACGACCGAGTCATATGGACCTAGATGACCCTGTTACTGGTCAGACCAGTGAAGGCATTTAGATTCAACATAGTTTGCACTACCTAATAATATGCACGATACGTATGTGACCGCAGAGATAACGGAGAGTATTTACATATGCAAACATGGCACGTCTCATTCTTCGTCTTATTCTTAATTATAATAATATTAATTAAGAAATTATGACATTTGAAATTAAAGATGATCACTAGGTTCTGGTGAGATTTTTGTATTTTTATATTATTAGGTAATTGTGCTCATATTTTGTCACCCCCATGATAGCCTACATGTGCACAAATAAATCGTTTGGTATTTTTACAGTTTTCCAAATTTTAAGTAGGTCATGTTAGTAGCTAGCAACACTGGACAAATAATCTGACTTCTGCATTTAATGTGTGATGATGTGCAAAATATGGTTCTTTTGTCAGCACTGCAACGTTTTCTGTCTGATGTATTATATGGAGAATATACGGAGAAAATCATTTTAAAAACATTCTGTAGCCTTCCTTTTAAGTGAATGCTAGATTGTTCTTACGTGATGATGTTGACCCATTGGGTGATAAGCATAGAAAAACGTTTTTGAGAAAATGCTGAAGATTGCATACAACACGTTAAAACTGAACATGGTGAGATATTTAATTAAAATTTACATTTTTTAAGAAATCAACTTTTACACCCTGCTTTGTCCAATATTTTAATAACCAATGTCCTATCTTTTTTATGTCGCCATTGACATTTTTCATGTTAGACTAATGCATCCCAAACAGCAGATGGCGCTGTTTGGGATGCATTAGTCTAACATGAAAAATGTCAATGGCGACATTAAAAACGACTGGAACTTGAAATGAGTTTCATATAATACTTTTTTATTCTCGTTGAGTTTCTCCAACGCAAGTGAAATAGAGGAAAGTCTCACATAGTTTATTAAGAGATAAATAACATCATGTCTTATTTTTTAATTATTAATATATACAACATTTTATATATGTTTTATGTCTTCCCTGCCTTTCTGTTTTTCTGTAGCTTTAGAGGCTGCTGGATCTCAGGTTTCCTGTTCTGATCCCGTTCAGTTGTGGGAGGCTGTTCTACAGACTTTGGGTTCCTCAGTCTATGTGCCATATGTCCACACGCTTCTGCTGATCCAGTGGATGCTGTGGCTCATGCAGTGCCAGTTAGAGAGAGTTCTTACTCTTCTGATGCAAACTGATCACAAGGTATTCATTTTTTACAATTCTTATAAAAATAATTGTAAGAATCATTAGGTCCCCCTTGGGCATTTTCTGAAGCCCCCTAGTGGTCCACAGCCCTCTGGTTGAGAACCACTGTTTTATACTTAATTTATAAGCATACGCTCTTGCATGTCAAATATAAACATGATCACTGTGAAATACTGATCTGTTTTTATCACTTGTTATGAATAATGTAGGCTTTTCCCCAGATTTCTACTAGTGAAAAGCAGAATCGCAAACTCTGCCATAGAGGACTTCTGTGAAAACTGTAGGCTCCTATTAGGTCCCCACCAGTCAACCCAAAAGTGAGGGGGATTTTTTAATGCCCTCCTTGGAAAAATAATTAAAATAAATCTCAAACCTGAAATGTTCTGCATGCACACTATACTTACCAAGGTACCCCCGAAAAAAATTAGTACTGAGACTCAGTACCTTCCCATTATAAGGAAAACCCTAAAAGTGAACATATGAGCTCTCTTGATCATTACATTTGGATTGAGATTAAGGAACAAGAATGTACAAAATGGTTTACATGTACATTGAAATGTGCTTTAGAGACCAGACCGGTTTTTTTTTTTTATTCAAAGAGGTCAGGACCGTCATGAGATTAGATGTTTAGGTTTCCGTAAATGTCTGTATAACCAAATGTGCTGTTGGCCATTAAACTGTTGGGTTTGGAATAAAGGTGATCTCTCAAAAAATTTGTACATTTTGAAATGGCAAATCAACCTCTGTTGGACCACTTGAGATGGATTGACCCCTAACAAACAATAATGTAACAGTATTTTATAGTTAAACACATCAGTTGTAAACATGAAATTGCCTAGTAATGTGACCTAAGAATGATTTGTTAATGTAAATACTGTTGTTTTTAAGAATGTATTTTTGACTGCTATACTGTTGTCATTCTCTCCTCACAGAGAGCGTTCAGCACCTGTGAATCTACAGACAGAAACCCGAAACCTTGCTTTGAGCATGGAAGAAGACTCCTCACTAATGGTTGCCATGACAGCAAAGGACCTCAAGGATCTTTTGCACATATGCACTGTAATATGTCAAGGTACAAAATGTCTGAACTAAGATATAGACAATGTGATCAAATGTTTATGTAAATATTTTTATATTATGTAGGGTCTATATATTAATGTCACAAGAAATACATCCCATTTCTTTGCCATTTAAAACAATAAATAGTAGAACTGACATTAATCTTAAAATGCTTTTGCTGGTTTAGGGGTGAAACAGATGAAGATGGAAAAATATTCCGAGGCCCTTGACATTTTTCAGGAGGCTAAAGGCCTCCCAAGACCCAGAAGTCTCTTGGCACATATCCACACTCTTACAGGCCAGAGTTTTGCTAAGCTGGTAAAAAGCTCTGGTCTACAATCCCCATCCAATGAACCCTGAACTAAATAGACCTAAACAGACAAAATCTTAAATCAACATTTTCTATTTGATTAAGTTTGGATTAAGTTTGTTTGTTGGATTAGATGAACTGATTCAGAATTTGAGCAAACAGTTTCTATCTTGAGTCCAGGCGCTCTCAGTGGCTCTGTTACTTATGTCCCTGCAGGGCCAGCCCCATTGTGCTCTCCACTTTTATAGGAAGGCTGTGGAGGTGGATTGTGCTTGCCATAGTGCACTTTATCAAAGTGCTCTGGTGTTCAGACAGCTTGGCAATCCAAAGGCAGAAATGGAGGCCTTGCATCTTCTTTACTCAGTAAGTCATTCTGTACACAATTGATTGATTACTTTCAATAATTTTTAATTTTCTGCAGTGTACCTTGTGCTTTACAGAAAGTGCATTTGCATATATGACAAAAAAAATAAATTCAGCATTACATAATTTGCACCCCTGCAATGACTTCAAACAGCTGATAAAAACATCACAGTAATTCACATAGCTTCAGTCCATCAATTAACGTCTTGTGAAGCGAAAGGCTGCATGTTTGCAATAAACAAATTCATCAAGACATTTTTAACTTCAAACTATTGCTTACACCTAAAATAAGAGTATCCATAATAATTTATCCATAATATTGCTTTCTCCAGTGAAAAAGTCTCATCTGAATCAGGATAGAAATATGCACAAATCAAGAACCGTTTATAAGAGAAAACAGTCCAAAGCAGCTCTAAACAAATATGTCAGGGGTTTTTGATGTGAAAGGACAAGAGAGGATGAACTTTTTGACTGGAGAAAGTGTTATTATGGATTATAGACTGGAATTTTGGCCCAAAGCAACGGTTTAAAGTTGTTTCTTACAAACACGCAGCTTTTCTCTCCAGAAGTTATGTGAATTTCTTGTGAATTTTAGGGATGCGTTTATGAGACTCACATTCCCAATTTACTGCAAATGATCCATTGGTGAGCAAGTGATGTAATGCTGAATTTCTCAAAATCTGTTCAGATGAAGAAACAAACTCATTTTGGATGGCCTGAGGGTAAGTACATTTTCAGCAATTTTTCATTTTTATGACCTTTTTCTTATAACTACTTGTGATGTCAGTGATAAATAGTTAATTGTTGTCCCTACTTCACAAAACACATAACGACTCATTATTTTAATAAAAACAATAAGTAGAAAAATATTTATTTATGTTCTCACCACAGGTGACGTTTCGAGCTTAGACGCTCTTCATTGGTCTAAGCTCGAAACGTCACATGTGGTGATAACATAAATAAATATTTTTCTATCTCTGGAGCTGTGGTGTGCCTACTTAGATTTTTTGGTTCAAATTCTTTTGTGGTGGAGCACCCACATTGAGCTTTTTGCCTACTGGATGTGCGCACTTGGACTGATTTGTTTTAAATAAAAACAATAAACAAATCATTTGTAAGTGCCTAAGGTCCATATCTCATGCCTAGTTTCAACAAAGTAGATGTAAACAAGTAAGTAGCAACAAGGCACAGCTGACACTGAAGGATTGTTTCAAACAGTAAAGGATGTTTCACATTCTTTCATAATTTTCCAATGAATGTATTTCCTGCATGTTTTGTAGTGTCTTTTTGTTAAATAATACTTTTCTCTTGCTTTGTTTACAGGCAGTCCAACTGCATTCTGATAAAAGTTCATCTAGTGCGTCACTGGTCTCTCTAGCTACGCTGCTTGGTGGTGAACAGATGACCTTCATTAGCAGAGTTCCTTCCCCCTCTCTGATTCTGCACACTTTGGCTCACACATGTGTGTTCAATGGCAGGCAAGTGATTCCACAACAAGGACAAATGCTTGAATCATATATCAAATTTGAATACAGAATAAATCAGAAATTTAATCAGATCTAGAAAACTTATTTTTTTACAGAATACTAAACATCTAAACAATATATATA